GGTAGGTGGCCATTTTGTCGGACAGTTTCGGTCCGATTGTCACGAAATTAAAACGCAAGCGTAATTATAGTGCAACTGTGACATATTTGAAAGATTTTAACAAACAAATAAAAACTGTGAGGTCTAGATCGTATAAAAATTGTGACCTCTAGAGAGTCCACAACCTTGGAATTATTATGCATATTATATTTGTCAAGTTCAGCATCGCAAAAAACCACCATCGAATTTAGAAAAGAAACAAAATTTCATTTCATTGCTGAATAATTTCATTCGCCAGAAAACGTCTCTAGATCCCCAGGAGCTTCCGGGACCTAGATGGATGGTAGCCCCTCCCCCAAAATCAAGAATTGCTTCCGCCGGCCCTGAATTTTTTTGTGAACAGTATGTTAACACATACGTGATTAATTCAACACAATTCCAAGACAGTACACAGTCCATACATCAGTATCTGGTGTGTCCACCGCGAGTGTCAATAATAACAACGTAGCGTCTGTACATGGAGTGAACCAGACGATTGATGAACGCCATTGGCACCCGGAACCACACTCTCATAAAAGCCTGACGCAATCCATCGGCTATGTTTGGTCTCGGTACGGCGTTATTAAGTCTCCTCTGAATTTCACCCCAAGGCTTTTGCGATATTTTAATTACAGACATGGGAGTTACATTTTCTGAATTCTTGAAGGAATGTCTAATAATCTATCGGAGTTTTGATTTCGGTCAACTGCTGATCACTATTTGGAATTGAATATGAAAAACAGTGAAAAATCCACCTTAACCGACGTCAACCGACGTCAAAATAAACACAATAGACCGTAGTTTGGAGAATTCGTCTCCTATTTCCGAAAAGAATAATTTCTGAAAAGCCGAGATCAGGGTCCAATTTTTGGTATTTAAAATTTTAAAAATTTAAAATTTTGTCTTTGACCGTTCATGTGCCGACAAAGTTCTTTACATGAGGTTTTATGCCCTTAATTTTAAAAATTTACAAATTTAACCTGAATATTCAAAAAGCTGAGGTCAATCTGATTCAAAAAATATAACTATCATTCAAATAGTAAGTGCAGGAGGACCGCACTACACGCAAATCAGAAATATACAAGTTATCTCATTTCATTTCATTTTCTCATCCGTCCCGTTTTTGAACGGCTTGATCCATTTTTCTGAATTTTCTGGAACGGGATGTCATTCCGATTACAGCAATACAAGTTTCGGTTATTTTCAGATTATTTTTTTGCACGCGTGCAATGTTTCTCACTGTATTTAGAGCTGGAACTTCGTAAGTTTTTGACCGATTTTTTTTCTCGTTCTCTTTTCTTTTAAGATACTTGATATAATCCACGACACGTGACGATGAATATGGAAGCTTTCATATCTGCTCGGCACAGTAGCAGATCTAGTTATTATTATACGTGCAAAGTATAGTTTATACATATTGTAAACATCTATTTAACAGAACAATTACGTAACTTGTTTCTCTCTGTAGGTACCTCTAAGAAAACATCAAATGGGCATTCACTAGTTGTACATATTCAGGATAAAAAGTATTGGCATTGTTATATTACCTAAACGAGCTGGATAACACATGCTAAAATACTACTGAGATACAAGTGTAGTGAGAGCAATAAAACACAATTATTACAAATAACTATTGAGTATTTGCTTTTCATCAAAAACTTAAAAGCTGTAAAGAGTTATAACCGAGTTATGAGCAAAAATAAGTGTTGTTATTCTGAAGATGGCGCCCAACCAGGATGCATATGAAATGACTAAGTTGATTGATAACATTTCATAAACCGGATTAAAATTTGGATTAATACTTGGCTGATACCTACGTCACATTTGGGTGCAAAGTGTGGGATTTGTTTTGGATATACCGAAACCTTTAAATGTCACATGTGTATATATTCATTGTGAATTTTACATGGTTTGTGAATTTCCCTAAACATGTGTTAATAAGTGAACATTTTAATCACCCTTCCTACATTAAAAACGTGTTGATTTCTCATTCTTGTGATGATCTAAAATAATAATAATGTATTTTTATAATGAGCTTAATAATCCATCCATATACGCATGCACAAAGCCTACATTTAAAGTTTCTCTCGTCAACATATGAGTTTTTTTAGTTGTGGCAACTGATTCCAAAGACGAGGTGTCGTAGCACTGAAACTTTTATCAACAAATTGTTTTAGTTATCAATCAGGAAATGCTAAGGATACTCTAATATTGAAAGCTCACTGAGAGTTTTGCTCATAAGGTATGATATAGTTTTGTTATTTATGGGTGGTAAACTACATATATTAATTACTAAAAAAATAGCAATATTAGTTACCAACTATCATCCGAACTTGGCGCAAAAGCATGATAACATTGTGATCATAATAAAAGTCGAATTTTCTCAGTTACGCCTGCATCTAATATGGCATGAACAATGCTAAATGCAAGTCCGAGAAACCTAGTGTTCACTTTGTTTTACTATAGACCGTATTTTTCTGGTCTCCATTGAAACGGAACAAAAGATGAGTTTTCTTTTAAGTTCATGCTAAAAAGAGATATCGATAACCCCCAACTATAGATTGCAAGTATCGGTTATAAGTGACATTTCAACACTAAAACGTTAAAAAATGTCAACTTAAAGTATTTTTAAATCTGTGTTCGTTAGTATCCTTCAAACGAGATTTTGTGATTTTGGGTAAATTCTGTCAATAAATCTACAACAGTTCGTATGTAAAAAGTAAATATTTACTTCATATTATACATAAAAATCGTAGTTTTTCGACCGTCCAAAAAAGAAATTCAGCAATTTCCAGTTGAGATAGATGGTAGATAAACGCGTCGTAGAGTGACTTAATTAGGATACCTCGTCCGGGGTTAGATCTAATTGATAAGGCCAACTTCAAATTTGGTCAAAGGTCACGAGATGTAAACAGGGTTAGGGCTTATTCCAACCCTAACCCTGGACCTTACCCTAATGCTTACCCTAACCTACAATCTCGCCAACAATCACGTGTCCTAATCTTATTTACATCTCAGCGACCTTGGCAAAATTGAGCTGGCCTTAACAAATAGATTTGAACGTCGTCCAGTGTGAAACTGTTGCTGGAGACAGCCATTATTATTTACTGCGGATCACTTGACCGATGTGTACGACGTCCTAATTTATCCAATAACTGATCTTGGCTGGGGAAATTTTCTCGTTTGCTATAACTTCTTTTTTCTTTCCGCTTGTATCTCCATTATTACACAACAAACAGTCGGACCGTTGTGTGTCTTCTTGGTTTGTGAGTTAATTATAAGCTTGGTGTGTGAATAGATGTCAAAATAATAGTTTATATAAGATTTGAAGCCAAAGTAAAGAACCACAATAGGCAGATTTAGTCTTACATAATGCATCATTTAGACAACAATATTAAATTACACAATGGACAGGCGTTGAACATTGAACAAATAGACTGCAAACCAGACTGACTATAATGGTCTATGTTGTGAACGAACAGTTGTTAGCGGAACATGGTGCCAACGTAAATCGTGTTGGATCGGGGTTTGTTATTTCAGGTGCGTCGTCTCCAGAGTAAAGGAAGCGAATTAAGGGTTTAACGTCCTACGTCCTAATGAAAATTTCATTCAAATTACTTTATTCTGAGCGAAGTTATCACTGTTTTGAGTTTTGGCAAGATCTGGTATTGATTGTTCAAAATCGTACAAACGGTGCTGGTTATTTGAGACTTAGTCTCGCTTCTCCAATTTTAAATTAAATCATTAAAATAACAGAAGAGTTTTAATCAACTTCAAATCCGATGGCCTAGAAAGTTGAATATGGGCTTGTGTTCTTAAATGTATAAATAATAGTTTATATAACATTTGAAGCCAAAACAAAGACCATCTATAGACAGTTTTAGCTTTTACATAATGTATCTAATAATTATTATGTAAAATTTATGACAATGTATATCAAACTTCATTTTTTTTCAGTGACATTTTTATTTTTACTTCTGTGGACATTCTGTGACTTTAAATGTCAAGTTTAATTAAGTCATCTTACTCAAACCACAAAACTAAATTAAAATGAAAGTGTTGTTAATAAACAATGAATAAAGAATTCCGTAAATATACTCTTCAAAAAAAGTAGGGGATATTGAAATGCAAATACCTATGCAGGTTGTGATATTATAAATAGTCATGGACACTTGACATGCTTTGAGAGTATGTTCACAGATGAAGAACTTATCGCCCCAACAGAACCACTGAGCTGCACATGCGACACGCAATAGCGCCATACACGTGGGAGGGGTTCATTGTCAAATTTGACACTTCAAGGAAGGGTTGATGAAAACTGCCGCGTGCTGGTTTATCCATCCATGTTTGCTTTCCTATCGGTTCTTGCATAAGATTTACTGTTTAGCGTATATTTGCTTTAGTGTGTTTCGTTTAATGTGATCGGGAGACGTGTTCGTCAACTTCAACCGACAACACTGCACGAATTGGCCGTGGCACTGCAAGAGGAGTGGGTCAGACTAATTGCTCAATGTCTGAGGATTGGTGGAACAATTACTCATTATTAAGACTAACATCAAAAAACGTCCATTTTCACTTTCGACGGTGTATCTCTTTGCGAGTGAAATGGGGCCGTCAGATAAGCCGCCCATATGAATTGTTTATGTTCATGTGTAGGCAATTGGCCCGTTATTAACATACACTGGTTAATAAAAACAGCAGTGCATTTCCGCAGTTTTGTATTGTTTCTGAATATCTCCTACTTTTTTTGAAGAGTATATCGCGAGTGTGACAAGCGATTGTTCGTGTTGGTTACCAATTTCTAAAATTTTCCAAACAACCATGACATTGATATTAGGCTCGTTGGAGTCTATTAGTGTAACTTTGCATGAATCCTGTCTTTAGTATATCTATATAATGAAAATGATATATGTTAGCTTTTATATAATTAAAGTGGTAATTAAAATGGTAATTTTATAGTTAAAGGTATATAACCTACATACCTGTAGTTGTTTCTTGAGTCGTAGCTCTGGAGGCCCTGATGTCTCTGGCGGTTTGGCAGTCGCCGTTAAACATGCCTTCGAAGAACTGACACGCAAATAACATAAGGTCTTCTGGGTGATCTTCAGCTGAAACATGTCCACTTAATAAAATTGAAATCCATACACAAATTCGAAGACTCATAGACATATTCTATTAATAAATGTATCAACCGAATACAGCAGAAATATGTGTCAGTTCGTTTTTCTTAATTACGTTAGTCGTTAGATATTCAACCCTAAAGTCAGTACTGATAAAGATACATTTAGAACCAGCAACTCATAAAATCCTGATTCCAACAACTGATCTGAATATCAATATTCTGAATAAGTGTTTTTGTATCTGGTATGCTCCTCTATCAGATAGTGATATGAAGTAATATTGCATTAACTTTCTTTAAAATGCATCGTATTTCACGCACAGATTGACATGCATCAAATCGACCCACATCTACACTGAAAAAAAACTTGTGTTGAAACAACACAAACTTGTGTGGTTTTCAACACAAGTTAGGTGTCTCTATTTAACAACACAAACTTGTGTTAAAACACAAAACTTGTGTTAAATGTTGACACAGCACAAAACTTGTGTTAAAATTTATCAAAGAACACAAACTTGTGTTGAAACTTGTGTGAAATTCTACACATTACTTGCGTGTTGAAATTTCTGAAACTTGTGTGGTTTCATACAAACTTGTGTATAATCATTAACAAAAACATGTGTTGTATTTTCCCCCAATTTATATCCAGTATAGCAACCTTTCCCATGCAGCACCTCTTCTTTTGCTTTGTTTAACCTGTAAGATTTAATAAATGACGGAACAATAATTTGTTTGTTAAATTATTATTTATTTAAAAATGATAGGAAAAAGTAAATTAATACTGTCAAATCAAAACTATATAGACATTTGAAATGTTAACAGAAAATTAATTCCAATACTAATGAAATTGTGTTATATTATGACATGTAATTATGCATCAAATTGAAATACTTTCAAAAACTGAAAAGTGCATCAAAGTCATTTTACAAGTGATTTGTGAGGTTATTGTAAAATAAATGAAATAAAAATATCAGAGAAAATGGCAAATATTAAATAATATGTACAAAATATTTATATAAAAGTCATAAGCAAGGGGGAGCTACATTGGTTCAGTGAGTATAAGGCGTTGGCCCAGAAATTTCATCTGGATTTACCGGCACAGTTCCCCCATGTCAGTGGTGTAGGACATGGCAATAGATGATATAGTTGTTCGCATAGGACAATAAACCTAGGTCTCATAAACACCTTGGTGTGTATTTTAAAGCAAGATAGAAATGGGGTTTAGTCTCCACTCGACACAAACTGGGTCAATTAGGGACTAACATAAGGTTCAATATTATTTCAATAATTCACTTGAGCATAGGGGTTTTTAGTAGTGGGAGGAAACCAAAGGACCCGGAGAAAACCTGCAAGGTTTGACAGGTGCGCCTACTCCTTGTCATGTACAACAGGGAATCGAAACCACCCCCAAAGTGTACACTTTAAAGAAACCTTGACAATTTAAATATTTTACTCAATGCCAGATCTGATCCAATGTGCGCATGTTAACCATTCCGCCACCCATCGCTTCCTGTGTTCATGTTAAAGAAACCTCTGAAATATTTGATAAAAGAGTAGGTTGTAGGGCAGAATTACCATAATAACACAGAAAGGTAGGATATTAAACCCTATTTCATTTGATAAGCAAGAGAAAGTCACCTTAATGTAGGTCATGGGATTTTTGTAATTCTGCATATATTTGGTTTCTACTTTAGGATTTCCAACCAAATTCTAAGTGATTTATATGTCACTTTACTTTCTATATTATACATAAATTTCTGGAGAGAATTAAAATCTAATTGTGTTTGGGGAGGATATTTAACATTAAAAAAAAATTAAAAAATAGGTCAAATGCATTCTTTTCCAGAACTATAAAATAAATTAATGGTTTAATATTCAAAAGGTATGGTTGGGTTCTCTTGTTTTTATCATACATCAATACTCTTGCAAGGGTGTTCCAGCCTAAAAAAGAAAAAAAATTGACAATAAGAACACTTTCTATGGTTCACAATGTTTAAATAAACAATTTATTTTGCTACATCGAATGAAATGGGGTTTAACGTCAACTCGACACAAACTAGATCATTTCAGGACTAACATATTTTCCAATTAAATTTCAATAATTCGCTTGCGCATAGGGTCTTTAGCAGTGGGAGGAAACTAGAGGACCCGGAGAAAACCCGCGAGATTCGACAGGCGACCCTACTCCTCGTCACGTACAACCGTGGAATCGAAACCACACCAGTTGACTCAGTGACAGACTGTATGATACAGCACCCACATGCTAACCATTCGGACATTCACCCCCCCTTGCCACATCGAGATTGAGTCTCTATTTTGTTTCAACTTTTGATAACACTTATTGTGTCTTGTCCAGTTAAAGACCCAGGCAGATTATTATGCTCAAATCAAATGGGTCAGAAGTCAGAAAAAAAAGTCATGAGATTTGGGACTAGAGTCTAATAATAGGCCAACTATTTACTGTAAAAAATAGACATATCACAACTTGAAGAAAATCAATGGATGTGATTGTCAAAAAACAAGCATGCCAAGTACTTGAAATAGCAGAGCCCTAGGCATTGCCTCAAGAAGAATAACTAGATTACCAAGTCTATAGTACTAGTTACTAATTAAAAAAACAAATATGTATTGGTACTTACATTTTGCCTGATTATCAAGCTCTGTGAGAAAAAGTTTCCACAATATGAATAGCCATTTCCAACTGTCTTGATCTTTCTGATGTAGTTAACTGAGAAAAAACATACTATGTATTAGTTGACTTAAATTGACTCACAGTTAAAAGATGAAAGTTTTAATTTAATTACATTGTATTGTAATGTGTTGGTTTGCTTTGTCACAAATGAGACAAAATGAAAAAATGAAATGAAATGGGTTTGGCGTCCTACTGTTCAGCTCCGACTGAGCTAATGAAGTTGGGCATATGCCATACAGTGTGCTACGATAGAAATTTTGCCGGGTACCGTGACCCTAAGGCCTACTCTTGTCTCAAATTCTAACTGCCAGGGGATCTTTTACATGCACGCCAATGTGTACACGGGAGCACGTTTTTTTGTTCAATCTGAACGACTAGACAGCTGTCCTTGTAAGGCCCTCCGTACTGCATTGTCTTACTGCAAACCCAGCGACCTTAAAATATGCGAGCCAGTGTCTAACCCACTTGGCCACCGTGTTTCCCCAAAGATGAGACAGCCATATCTACATGTATCTGGATATAATTAAGATTCTGTCAGTGCACATACATGTACGTGTACAGTTTTACTATACTAAACTGAATTTTAAATTTCAAAACAATAAAATGAAATGGAGGTTTATGTCACATCAGCTCCAACCGGGCTATATTGTGCCAAACACATTATGGTGAGATTCTAAAATACCATAACAACAATCTTTTCTATTAGAATTGAACACTCACCCTCCAAAAATCATAGGTGCTCAAATCACCATTTCTTCAGCTCTTTCTTTTCCCATATTTGGGTTTTTTGACTTATTTTATTACATGATCTTTGATTTGCTATGGCATTTAATATGGAAACTGAAAAATATGAATATGTGACATGTAATAACCTGTTTAAGATACCTTACCATATACAAACTGTGTGATATCTAAAACCATTTGAATCCTGAAGATCTTACCCAGGCCGTAAAAATCTGTTTTAATAACCCTTGTTTGTCATGTGACTGGACTGTCACAGTAATTTGAAGAGAGCCATGTGGCTTAGTGAGTAAGGCAATGGCTTGCTACCCGGGATTTTGTGTGTTCGCTCCCAGTGTTGACCGAGAAAGCTCATTTGGAATTTTCAGCATGGATTCCCTGTTTAGTCGTCACGGTGGCTAAGTGGGTAAGACGCTGGCTCGCTAGCCTGGAAGTCGGGTGTTCGATCCCTGCATTGGCCGAGAAAGTTCACCCAGATTTTCCGGCGTGGTTCCCCCTTATCAGTGATGCAGGACGGAGGGCCCTGACAAGGACAGCTGTCTAGTCATTCGGATGAGACGAAAAACCGAGGTCCCGTGTACACATTGTTGTGCACGTAAAACATCCCTTGACAGTTGGAATATAATATAAGAGTAGGCCGTAGGGCCGCTGACCGTCAAAATTTCCCTCATAGTACACTGTATTGCGTATGCCCGTCTTCATTAGCCCAGTTCGGAACAAAACAGTAAGAGAGAGAGAGAGAGAGAAATGGGGTTTAACGTCCACTCGACACAAACTAGGTCATTTCGGGACTAACATATGGTTTAATTTTATTTCAATAATTCGCTTGCGCGCAGGGGTCTTTAGCAGTGGGAGGAAACCGGAGGACCCGGAGAAAACCCACGAGGTTGGACAGGCGACCCTACTCCTTGTCACGTACAACCGGGGATTCGAAACCACGCCAGTCGACTCAATGACAGACTTTATGATACAGCGCGCGCACGCTAACCATTCAGCCATCCCCCCCCCCCAAAACAGTAAGACGTTAAACCCCATTTCATTTCATTTCTAGTCGTTTCAATGGAACAAAAAACCTGAGGTCCCATTGGCGTGCATTTAAGTCGATAGCACGGTAGTTGGAATTTGTTGGCTGTAGGACTCGTGTCACAGTTTGACTGCTAGTTTGTGATACCCACTCGATATGAAGGTGATTGGCTAATGAATTCTAAAATGAGACGAATGCTTCAGCGAAGCGGACACAGCACTCAAATACAATTCGGCCAAATATATCAAACATGTGTCAGTGGACACACTAGGTGAATTTTACCGCCGATTGAATAAGCCGAATCCTTTGGCTAGTTTATTCAGCACTGACGATTTAAGTCTGTACTTTCTTTATATGTAAATATCATATTTGAAAGAGGCTGAAGACCTTCTTTCTTTATATGCAAATATCATATTTGAAATAGGCCATACTATTATGTGATTCCCCGTTTGAATGTGACTAGGAATAGGGTCGTCTGTCCAGCCTTGTGGGTTTTTTCCGGGTCCTCCGTTTTCCT